AGCCTTCGAAGTCCATGGTCATGGAGTCCTCAATGACAATGTAATCAATGCATGTGGAAGTAATAGTCACTAAAGAATACAATGAATAGAAGGACCTTGACTTCTCCAAGAGTCTGACAAGCAGAATTTTCTTATCATACTACCACATTTTTGTCCTATACTTTTCAGTCTCTTAAGAGTGGGAAAGCCATTAGTAGCGGAAGAAGAATACAGTTGACATACTTTATATGTCTCGAAAAGTAATATTATTCTTATACCAGACAAAGGCAGTAATTAATAAATACAATTTTATGAGGGGTAGTAAATGTATCTCACACCTGGCTGAATTTCTGTGATCTATTTCTATAAAGATGCAGCTAATCTCACTGTAAGCAGGTCTAATCACCTCTAGGGACTTTTATCTGAGACCAATTCTATTTCATATCTAATGCCCCAAATTTTAAGTTAGTGAACATTTACTGAAATTACACAGTACATTGCAAATGTTTATTTATTTTTTCAAGCTCTTAGACAATGCCCAATAATAAAGCACTGAATAGTTTGGACCTACCACCCTTCCCCCTCCCCGTTATCCTAGACTATTCATTGAGCACTTTTCCTCCTGGCTTCCCCACTTCCTGTCATCTAGCACTCCTTCCCTTTATACTTGGGGATTTCAATATTCTAATCAACAACCCCAATTGCACTGATGACTCTCATCAGCTCTCTGTAATCTCCGCCTTTGGCCTTACGCAGTGGTCAAATTTAGCAACCCATACAGGGGGAAACACTCTTGATCTCGCCTTCACCAACCTCTGTACTGCCTCTAATCTATCTTATATTCCTTTTCCTCTATATGACCACCATCTGCTGACATTTGACATTGGCATACCTAAGATCCAATTGACACCACCGTCTGAACATCAGTCTCACAGAAACCTCCAATGTCTTGGCCTAGAGCATTTCTCCACTAATCTCCAAACTCTTCTTTTATCTATTTCAAACCTCACCTGTCCTAGTTCTGCAACCACTTCCTACAATTCCACCCTCTCTTCTCAACTAGACATCATGGCACCTTCTACATTTAGACGCCATAGGCGCCCCCCCAACAACAACCTTGGCATACCAAGCTGTATCGATACCTCCAAAAATGCTCCAGAACCGATGAACGCTGTTGGAGAAAGTCTCACTGTATGTCTGACTTTCTCCACTATAAATTTATGCTGCGCTCATACAGCTTGGCTCTTTCCTCTGCAAAAGTAAATTACTTCAATAACCTCATAACCACACTATCCTGCGAACCCAAACGACTATTTCACACATTTAACTCTCTTCTTCGCCCTATTGTTCCTCCTCCACCTACTAACTTGACCGCCTCAGACTTTGCAACTCACTTCACTGACAAGATCTATACAATCAGGGAAGAGAGCTAACTTCACTCCCTTTGCTGTTATATGTTCATTCGCACCCACTACATTGGAAGAGGTTTCTGCTCTGCTTCAGTCCACCTGCTCCCTAGATCCAATTCCATCGCATCTCTTCCATATTGTCTTCTTCTTTCTCCACCTCTCACTAAAATTCTCAATCTCTCTCTCTCCTCTGGTATAGTTCCATCGCCCTTCAAACAGGCAACTGTGACCCCAATTATAAAGAAGCCCAACCTTGACCCTAACTCCCCATCCAACTACTGTCCTATCTCGCTACTGCCTTTTGCATCCAAGATCCTTGAAAGAATTGTGTATGCAAGATTGACAGACTTCCTCAAGTCCAACTCTCTAGTCCCGCTTCAGTGTGATTTCCGCGCTAAGCACTCTGTGGAAACGGCACTGACCAAAATATCCAATGATCCACTCGCTGCAAAATCTCATGGTCGCTACTCTATCCTAATTCTCCTTGACCTGTCTGCGGCTTTTGACACTGTTGATCATCAACAGCTTCTTCTCAACCTCTGCAATATCGGTCTAAAAGATATTGCTCTCTCCTTGTGCTCCTCCTACCTCTCCCAGCGCTCTTTCAGTGTTTCTTTCTCTGGCTCTGCTTTTTCTCCCCAACTCCTCTCTGTTGGTGTCCCCCAAAGTTCTGTCCTTGGTCCCCTACTGTTCCCCATCTATACTGCCTCCCTTGGTAAACTCATTAGCTCCTTTGGCTTCCAATATCATTTCTATGCAGATGACATGCAAATCTACTTGTCCTCTCCTGATCTCTCGCCTTCCTTCTTGACTAGTGTCTCTGACTGCCTCTCAGCTATTTCTAACTGGATGGCTGCCCACTTCCTTAAACTCAACTTGACCAAAACTGAAATTCTGGTCTTTCCTCCCTCAAGTGTTGTTACTCCTGTGTCTGTCTCCCTCCAAGTTAATGGTGCTACCATCAGCTTCACCACACAGGCTCGCTGCTTAGGTGTTCTCTTTGACTCCGACTTCTCCTTCAAGCCTCATGTTCAGTCTATAGCCAAATCCTAATACAAAAAGAAATTCCTGCACTCACTCCCATCACTCCTAGGCGGCAGCAATGATTACAGTACACATCAGCTAATACGTATAGTAAAAAACAAAGAAAACCATCTAGGGGGGGTCTGCCTTGACGTTGGCTGGCGGGCATTCCCTCCAGGCATTGACCTCCATTTGTTTAAATATACATAGGGATTAAGGAGAGAGCGCAGGTAACTTGTTTTCCTTTGGTTTTTACTATAGCCAAATCCTGTCGTTTCCATCTCAAAAACATTGCGCGTATCCGACCATACTTAATGCCAGATGCGACTATGGTGCTGGTCCATTCCACTGTCCTCTCTTGCCTTGACTACTGTAATCTGCTTTAGTGGTCTTACGTGCTCCGAACTTGCGCATTTACAATCCATAATGAATGTGGCGGCAAGGCTCATCTTCCTGTCCTCCCACATCTCACCCTTCTGTCAGTCCCTACACTGGCTTGCTGTAAGATATAGGGCTCAACTTAAAATTCTGGTTCTTGCTTTCAAATCTCTATCCTCCCTAATACACAAGTATGTCCTTCTAGGCCCTTACGATCTGCTGAAGACTTACGTCTAACTTCTGTCCGTACTCCAACCTCTGATGCTCTCCTTCAAGATTTCTCGAGGGCTACACCGTTCCTGTGGAACTCTCTTCCCATCTCCATTAGATGCTCACCCAGTCTCCACTCCTTACAAAAATCATTAAAAACCCATTTCTTCATAAAAGCTTATCAATTAAACTGTTAATAGCTCCTTTTTGTGTCACTTTACCCCACTCCCTTTCGCATGTAAGCTCATTGAGCAGGGCCCTCAACCCCTCTTTTCCTGTGTGTCGAACTTGTCTGGTTACAACTACATGTCTGTTCGTCCACCCATTGTAAAGTGCTGCGGAATTTGATGGCGCTATATAAATAATAACATAATAATAATAATATTAACAGACCTTAGAACCAGATACCACTTGTACATTTCCATGACTCATTTAGTTTACATATAGTGTTACCAACAAGATTTAACTCTTGTACAATGAGGGAAAAACTGTTTTTTGTTTTTTTTTATCTAAAAAAAACCTGCTGGATAGGAGTTTGAGATAAGAATAGACTTCATAGATCAGAATGTGACACGCTCTTTCTGACTAGGGAAGGCTCTGCTTGTAGCTGTTGGTAAACTTTTATAAAAGGACACTATATGCACCCAGACCACTTCTCATTGAGGTGGTCTGAGTGCAGTGTCCCCTGTCCCCATTGCAGTTTTTTAAAAGGTGGGCATCATTTTTTTTTTTTTTTTTTGACAATTTTTATTTGTTGTTTTTTCTTCAACTCTCAGGTGCGGGGTGGGGGGGGGTACAGAAGAAAGAAGGGGTGGGGGAAGCAGCAATAAAAGTTAACATGGACAAGTTTCAGGTCAACAACATTTCGAGGTATACCTTTCAAGACATACATTTTATCAAGGTTTCCCATTTGCATATATTAACATTGAGCTTAAGGCATTTCATTTGATCATTTACCACCCAATCCTATCTCGTTTTCCTTATATTGGGTCAGGGGGGATGTGTCTATATGTAGCCTAGAGATAATGCACAGCTCATATTGCTGGTGTCATTGCGGGTTGGGCTGAAGGAGGTGTGAGGGGGGAGGAGGGGGTTGGGAGGGCGAAAGGCGTAAGGGTGCAGTGTAGGTTGGTTAGTGTTCTGAGGTTATCCTCATGTTCAGGTAAATGTTGTGTCTCCAGTCAGGGAGATTCTGATTCCCATCTGTTGTGTGTGTGTGTGTGTTGTGTTTTGTTTTTTCTCGGGTTCGTGTTTTCCCACAGTTCCCATGCTGTGGGCCAGTAGGTGGCTGCCGGCCTCATTTTCCTCGCCGTGGACTCATAGTGTTTAGTAGTCTCAATCGCCTTAATACATTGGTCGATTTGGGGGGTAGATGTCTGTTTCCACTGCCTGCTGATGACCATGAGGGCTGCAATTATGATGTTGTATAGTAGGTACCTATGGCTTTTTTGCTGCATTTTTGTTAGTAGGAGTAGTAGGAACGTTTCAGGTTCCCACCAAGTGCACTTTAGTAACCAGTATTGAGTGAGCTTCAGGCAATGCCACCAGATATGTATCATGGTCCCTCAGTCCACCTGACATCTCCAGCAAACATCCAACATATCAGGATAGCTGTATTTGAGCCGTGTAGGGACTAAATACCATCGGTAGAGAATCTTTCGGGATAGTTCCAGATGGGTCGTGCAAAGAGTGAGTTGTTTGTGGGCCTTAAAGATTTCTTGCTACTGTTCATCTTGGAGTGGATGTCCGATATCTTTTTCCCACGCTAATTTGAAGGTGAGGGAAGCTATTTTTGGGATTGGGTGTGTTCAGAGGCGTAAAATAATAGATATAAGTTTTGTGGCCAGCTTATTTCTTGTACAGATTTTTGTCACTGTTCTCCAGTGCCGATCTCTGGGCTCTGCCGTCTTCTGTGTCGGTTGGAGAGCAACCCAGGAGTGTAGTTGCATGTAAGAAAAGGTGGCTGTATTAGGTAAGTTGAAGTCGAAGGTCTGGGAGTGTCTATGTCAAAGTTTGTAGTCGAAGTCGGGTATGAGTATCAAGGGGGAACGCAGGGGAGAGCAGCGCTGTTTGGCCCAGTCTTTTCCGGTATTTGTCCCAAGTTGAAAGGGTTAGTGCTGTGGTAGGTAGCAGTTCAGAGTTTTTTGGTCTGTTCCATTTCGGCAGCCAGGCCATGAGTGGCAAAGAGAGTCCACGTGCATGTTTTTTTTCCAGTGTGGCCCACGCCATTGGGTCTTTTCGGTAGGATGTTGATAGTAGTGGAGTTATTTGAACTGCTCGATAGTACCCCGACACACCGGGCATTCCCATCCCTCCTTGGGCGAAAGATCGGTACATCGTGGTTTTTGCTACTCTTGGTTTTGTGTTTTCCCATACATGAGCATTTAGGAGGTTTTGCAGTTCCTGCAGGTACTTTATGGGACATTTAAGCGGGAGCGTGCGGAATAGGGATTGAATTTTTGGTAGGATTACCATTTTCACAGAGGTTATCCAGGCGGTCCATGAGATATATTTCCCTTTCCACCCCTGTAGGATAGATTTGATTTCACCAAGCAGTTTGTCATGGTTCGCGTTGAAGAGCTTGTTTGGTGTAGGTTTAAAGCTAACCCCTAGGAACTTTATGTGGTCATGTCTCCAATCATAATCAAAGTTTGTTTTTAGGGCCGTCAGATCTTGGGCCGGGATATTAACCCCCAGGGCGAGGGATTTTGCAATGTTTAACTTGTAGTATGAGCATTTGCTGTATTGGGACAGGGCCTTGTGAAAGTTGGGCAGGGATGGGTGTTATAGGGACAAAAGGATGTCATCCGCAAACAGAGACAGCTTATACTCGACTTTTGGCTCAAACCCCAAGCAGGGATATTTTAAAGGTGAAAATGTTAATTTTAATGTTATTCTTAGATAAAATTTTTCTTAATGCATTATCTATTTCATATATGGATAAAAAAATATATGGGTTAGTTTTTCTATACTTTTCTTTTGAGATTTTAAAACTTTTGTAATCTCTATTGACAGCAGGGGGTGCTCATGTATACTATAATAAATGTATCCGCTGTTCTTGGTCTCCCGTCCCTTTGTTTGTTTTCCAAGACAGATTGGAACTTCTGCACCATATTTCACCATGAAAAATTAGCATGAAGGTCTTTGTAAAGTTTTTATACTTGCCACCTTTTTTCCGTCACAATATTTTAGATCAATTATGTATGAAGGTTTTCTATAACATACATTTTAAAATCTAACCTTAAATTAAAGTGGGGTATACTTGCATTAAAGGAAGACTTCGAACATCATTACCCACAGCAGCACATTAGCTGCAGTTTCAGAACTGGAATTCTTGTCCGTTGTTCGCCGCTCCCTGCCTCCACTACTTCTGCCCAAGGGCTGGAAGCTTCATTAGGTCTCCTGAGCTAAACCTTGCAGTGCAGTACTAGCTCATTTACTGTGAGCATCAACGGATCATTCTCAACCAATGATCTGAGGCAGTAGAGGCAGGGAGTGCTGCTCAGCAGACCACATGAATGTCCCTTTTAAAGTAACAAAAAGAGGAAGATGAGCCAGTAATGTGTTAAATTGTGTTAATGAAATCCATAGAGTGCCTGTTTTAGTAGTGTTACATTTTGAGCTCATTTATATACCACTGTGTTTATGAACTATTCTTATTTTGTTGCTGATATTTCTGCAGCCTTGGAAAGTAATCGGCATGAGAGCTGAAGGGATACGTCTCATTTTAGAAATATTTTACATTCTGAAACAAAATAGGAATTTGTACTGTTGACCATGGCTTTGATTTATTTTATTAATGGACATAAGACAGAGAGGACATTTCCTTTAAATATTGATCAAATGCGTTGTGTGCACCTTGTGTGGTAAGAGCAGTGGTTAACCTTGCCCTAGATCAGCGGCTCCCAAACTGTGTGCCGGGTACCGCAACTGGCACACAGGGGCCAGAGAGGGTGTGTTTTGTCATCACTAATGACAAGCACGTCCCCTGTCAAAGTGAGCACGTTGGTTCAATGCACAGAGCACTGATGAAGAGCTTTAGCATGAGAAAAAGGCCCTGTATTTGTTCTGTGCAGTGCAAGCAAGTTTAATAACATGCTTGCGCTGTGTTTGCTCTTAACTTGTTTCTGGTGTCTCCATAAGTGGGATACCAGAGGACAAAAGGGCCAGGAAAGCATATCGTGTTAGGGGCTGTATAGAGTGTGTGTGTGTGTGTGTATAGGGGGCATAGTGTATATTGGGGATGTAGCGAGTGTGCGCATATGGGCTGTAGTGTTTGTAGGGAGCGTGTGTTTAGAGAATGTAGCACGTGTTTGTTAACAAGGAATGTAGTGTGTGCATAGGGGATCCAGAGTTTGTATGTCAGGAATGTAGTGTGTGTAGGGGATCTAGTGTGTAAAGGATCCAGAGTGTGTATAGGAGATTGTGTGTAGAGGATTTAGAGTGTATATAGGAATCTACTGTGTGTGTAGATTAGATAATCCAGAGTTGGGTAAGGGATCTAGCGTGTATCTGGAGTGTAATGGGTGTAGTGATGCAGTTTGAGGGGTGCTGTAGTGTGTGTGTGTGTGTGTGTGTATATATATATATATATATATATATATATATATATATATATATATATATATATATATATATATTTGGATGTATTGTATGTGTGAGGGTCGCGGTGTGCTGTGTGTTTGTGTGAAGGATGCAGCGTGTGTGTGAGGGGTGCAGTGTGTTGGGTGTGCAAGAGGGGTGCTGTGTGTGTGAGCTCCACTGGGTCCTCCTCTCCCTTCCTCCCCATCCTGTGATCTCCTCTGCCGGCCTCGGCCCCTGGTCATCGTAGCCCACCGGGTATTTGCCCAGTATGCCCGATGGTCAGTCTGGGCCTGGTGCCATGAGATATTTTTCCTGTGCTATGATCATAGCACTGGGAACTGTGCCTCCCTCTACCCTGCCGGCTCTGCAGGACTGGAGGGGAGATCAGAGATCTCCCTCTCCGACCCGCTAGCACTGGCTGGCAGACAGCAGGGGAGGGAGAGAGGACCCGGAAGCTCTAACCTGCAGGCTAGAGTTCACTCTCACCACTGGGACCACCAGGGCTTCCTCACTGGGACCACCAGGGATTGCAGGAAATGTCCCCCCTCCCAGACAAAGGTAAACAGGGAGGAGGATATGAAAACACACATTGCTCCCCATACACACACTTCCCCCCTCACACACACACACACACACCCTGTACCTCTCATACAACCTGCCCCCTCACAAACACACTGCCCTCCACACACTGTACCGCTCACGCACAAACTGCCCCACATACGCACACACTGCACCCCCCACACACACTACATCTTTCACAAACACAATGCACCCCTGTACACTCAGTACACACACACACACACACACACACACACTCCACCCCTCACACACACTACTGCCCCTATCCCCTACTACAGCCCCTATCCCAGCAGATCCCAGGTAAGTGGTCAAACTGTTCTTAAGCCGTTTAACTACTTATTCTGGCACTACGGCACTTCTGTCACCATAACCACTACAAAGTGCTGTAGTGGTTTTTGTACCTGGATTGTTTGTTTAAGAATTCTACCAGTGCCTCTTCCAAAATTTAGGTTCTGGATCTGCACTTGAACAGCAAGCATTTCTGCCGAACAGGGGCCCAGTATATGCCGCTGCGCTGTACATATATGCAACCTAGAAAATTGTTATGACTTGGGCCGTCTTGGAAAAATATTGAAATATTAAGGACGCCTTAAACCTAAAAAGTTTGGGAACCAGTGCCCTAGATGCTATCTTAGTCGGCTTGAATCTCATATTCTCTTCCTCATATGAATGCATGGCAAATGTACTTTGCTTTCCTAGAATGGCTAGAATAAACTTTAGGATGTACTGGTTTATATGTAAATCATCTGTATGAAAATCTTTAGATGAATTTAGTGTCCTCATACTGTGTGATGATGCGAACATGAAGATCTCTGAAAATTGAAGATCTTCAATAAGGAAGTGTCCCTAGTCACTGCCAGGCTGACCCTCTAGAGTCATTGTTTTGTCAAAATGTCACACGTCATGTGTCCTTAAGGGGTTAAAGGGACAATCTAAGCATCATAAAAACTACTGCCTATTGAAGTGGATTTGGTGTATAGAGCATGCCCTTTTTACTGCCCGATTTTCTGCCTTTTAGGAGCTAAATCATTTTGCTTATTTATCCTAGCCACACCTCCTCTAGCTGTGACTCATGTAGCCTACCTACAAACTTCCTTTATTGTGTAGTGTGTTCTATATATGTACAATTTGTTATCTCCTGTTTTAATCATGTTCTTGAACCTGCAGCACCCCCCTTTTGAGATTAAGGTTCAGTTAACAAAGCAGGAGATAAGAAATTCTAAAGTGAACAGACAGAGCTGTAAGATGGGGGAAGTGTGCCTTGGGTTGCATAAACAGAAACAAAAGTGAGTGAACTCTTAAATGACAGATGATTGAGCCATGACACTGAAGCGACATGACCTATTAATCAAATCAAATTAAGCAGAAATTATTTTGGTGCTTAAAGTATACATATCTTAGCTATATATTTAGTAGCAAACTGACCACCATTGATGTATCTACCTGATACTGAACACATGCCGCATGCGAGAGTCTCCCTTTCAGAACAGAGAAGCAAGTACTTCTCCAAATTTTTTTGGAGATATATTTCAGAAACTACTTCTGCTGCTGCAGCTATAAAGAAGCTCAAACCATCAGTGTCTCAAATGGCAGTAGGAATTAATGTGTCCAGTGGAAAATCTGATTTGGGAAAACTTTGGTTAAATTAATTTTGAGTACACAGGGGAGCAAAATAACCACTGACATGTTTCATGCCTACTGACACTTCATCAGAGTATTGGGTATGGATAATCCTACGTAATTTAGACAATGTTTTTGAAGCTATGTTTCGTTACAAAAGTGTTTATACTGTATTTCACTGAATAGATGAACCATTGCATTTCTAGTTACAATGCCTGCTTTTTTGATGGGATCAGTGTATTTTAAAAATATTTTTCCCAATAACACACTCTTTTTTAAATATGGTTATGTGAGAGATTACAGTTAGTGAGAGAACTGGGATTTAAAAGAAAGCTTAACTGAATTGGAGTGTAACATATATAGTTTGTATATAGCACGTTATTGATCATTTTAATCAAATATGTATGTACAGTATATACTAGAGTAGAAGTCGACCCGAATATAAGTCGAGACCCCTAATTTTACCCCCCCAAAACTGGGGAAACTTATTGACTTGAGTATAAGACTAGGGTGGTACTACTGGTAAA